AACAGCAGTTACAATATCAGTAATGATACTAGGTCATTAGACAACAGCAGTTACAATATCAGTAATGATACTAGGTCATTAGACAACAGCAGTTACAATATCAGTAATGATACTAGGTCATTAGACAACAGCAGCTACAATATCAGTAATGATACTAGGTCATTAGACAACAGCAGCTATATAATGGAAAAATTTTGGAAAAGATGCCCAAGTTTTCTGGTGATACTAGATGTACCAAATTCTAAAAAAAATAATCAAAAATTGACTCAAGTTTCTACACATTACAGAAACATGTTAATTACACAAGAGTTAACCAACAATGACATAAGCATGTTTTATATTTTTTTTTTCTTCTAGGACTCTAAAATTACACAGAATACTTGGACAATAAAGTATATTTTTAGTATTACCATATGTCTAATGTTTCTGGAACATGACTATCTCCCTTCACTGAATAACTGATGTTAAACAATTTTCATTGTTTTTATGAACTTGTATGAGAAAAAGATTGAGTATTTAAAAATTGCTTGCCAGACTTAATTTTTTGAGAACCTTTGTGAACAAAGGTTTTAAAATCTATATGAATCCTACCGTTAACTTGGTAAAGTTGGTGAGGATTTGTCTTACTACAAAATAAAATAGATAACTCTACAGTAAGCTGTGTTATATTTATCATTTCACATGAATATAAAAACTCTTGTATGAAAACATCACCAATGATTTGCAAGTTGCATCTGAAGGAAGCTTATTTACATATCATTATTATATATATCTTATATATATTGTTTTTTCAAGTTTCAATAACCACTGGGCCATGCTTGGTCCAACAATTGAAAAGGGAAAATAAATTATTATTTACATTTTTTTTTTTAAATCATTTTTCAAGTAAACCACAATTTTTTTCCGACAATCTGCTGATGAATTTGTAGCTAGTATCAAATAGTTTATGTGTAACAATTATATCATAATACCTATCCAGTACCCTGAATGAAAAGAAAAATGTTGCTTATTCCCAAGCTCTTATTGCAGTCATGGTTGAGTACACAAAAAAAACAAAAAAACGACATTTGTATCACAATTAGTATAAACATAAAATTTTTCACTATTTAAGAGTGCACAGTTGTAGAAATATAATGCATTGGAACAGTACACTTCAGTAAGAAATATGTCCAAATGTGCTGACTTTATGTGAATTCCTTCATACAGTGCTTTATTAGAGTTATAAATGTTAACACCTTTGACAGCCAGAAAGTCATTATGCATAAAAGAAAGGATTTGAAAGAATCCCAAAGAGGAATGGTCACTGGGTATAGGTACTGATGGTAAAATTATGATACATTTTTTAATCACCTGCTCAAATACAACTTCATTGTGAGTAGTGCTGAAGAAATGAAAGACTACTGGATACTATTTCTATTATGATGTCTTTTTTATGCCTTACGAATTATCACTCCATAGTATATGTAAACTTTAAAAATGTTTTCAAATAAAACACGTCTGGCCTTAAAGTTATCACCCCAAATTATATAATGGGAATTGTATGATGGTCGATTTCATCAACTGGCTGCAGCCCATAAGCCAGTCACCATAATTATGAATTCAAGGCATCAGCTCTTAACATTCAAAACTAATATGAAGAACAGCAGAAAACCATTATGTGGAGTAACAAATCCAGAATTTATTGTATATTATGGATGGATATGACTATAGCATCCCATCCATCATGAGGTGGAGTTACTTTTAACTAGTTTGGACTTGGTTCATTAGTAAGTTAACAGAGACAAATGTTTTGTTAAAATGTTTTGCTTAAAGCACCAGAGTACACAACACCATAACACATGATGTGGCCCTTACTGATAAAATATTGTTGTCTCTTACAGATATATATTTACAGTCTAAAGTGCATTTGGCCACCTTGTAGAAGTTTTCATATTGTGCTGTGTGTGTAAATTACACAAAGAATCAAACAGTAATAGGGAATGAAAATATAATAAAAAGAAACAAGCATTAGAATTACATTTTGTGTTGTAATAATTACATACTTTGTTTTTAACTCCTCCATGAGATTTAGCACATGAAGAATGTCTGGGAATACAAAATGATCCTCTTCAAGAAAAAGGAATGGTCCTGTATGATTCCTAGTTACCTCAAGGTCATCAAAAACATAGTTCATCTACAACGAATAAAAAAAAAAAACATATTATGGCAGAACACTCAAAATTATCATGCAAAAATGGGTAATCCACATAAGACTCTGCCGATGCCCAGCTAAGTTATCACTAAAATTATAAAACAGAATATATAAAACCTTCACTGAAATCAAAACAAGAGTATATAAAACCCTTAACTAGCTAAAAACTTTTACTGAAATAAAAAATGGAATATATTACTGTAACACTAAAAGAAATAGACATTAGATATTCAAACAAAACATACAAAAAACAGACAAGTTTGAATAAAGTGGAAAAAATGGAATATTTCAATATACTTGTAACAAATATAAATGAAAAGAGATCAGCAGGAATTTACGAGCAGGATTTAGATGTGGAAATGACATGATTGATTTGAAAGGTAACGAGTAGTGGAAAATGTCAGAAGTAGATTATTCAAGCATAACAAAAAGAAACATGGAACACATCTGTACACAATGCATTAAAAGAAGACTGGATAGAGAAAAGATAAATAACTAGTGTACAAAAATTATCTTAAGAAAAATCAGAGTGGAATAAATGGGGAGGATGCAGAGACTGAAGCAAGAGTGACAAGGAAGTTGGAAAAATGTTTTTTAAATTCAATTTCAAAATTAATTTATGAAGAACAAATGTTACAAATGTTACAGTAGTTTAATTTATAATGATTTATGATATTCTAAAGTTAAAATGAAAATCTAAACCATATAATGATCATCATGGTATATGTAGAGTTGTTGAGTGAGAAATGAAGAAAAAAAACTGAAGCAAAAACAGCAGGTGTTTTCCTTCCCATAATCAGTTTAATTTATAATGATTTATGATATTCTAAAGTTAAAATGAAAATCTAAACCATATAATGATCATCATGGTATATGTAAAGTTGTTGAGTGAGAAATGAAGAAAAAACAAAACTGAAGCAAACACAGCAGGTGTTTTCCTTCCCATAATCACAACAGACACATGTTTCAAAGGGTGAGCTTTCATTGGTGTCCTTCACACTCATTTTTGAGTGTTCCCCTGGCAACCATAAACTACACAAGTTTGTTTCTACTTTGAAGAGAATGATTTAATTTATCATGTATTAGTAGATAATAACAGGGTGCTTCTTAGAAAATATTTTCTTATTAAAGCAAAAACTGAAGCTTTTAACTTGTACTTCTGTGTTCCTCACTTTAGTCATTTATTAGTTGTAACTGAAACACTCATAGCATATTTGTGGTTTTAAACAGACGTCAGTTTACATGTGGAAAAATGTGAAGTAAATATATAATCAATTTCTGAAAATTCTTGTTAAGAATATTTAATGCAATATTCTAATATAATTATGTTGAAAATAAAACCAAATTCTCTTTGCCAACAGTTCAATAAAACTTTCTCAATGTTGATTAATTAAATGTGTTATTGTATCACTTCTGAGTACAGATGAAACATCTTTCTAAACAGCTAAAAATGACATTCAATCTATTTCACAACTAAATAAACAACCTAGATGATAAAGTTCAACTAAAACAGTCTAGCTGATGAAGTTGGATCAGGATGATTTCCATTGCTAAGCACATCTTTTTCCAACACTAATGTGTATTTATTCTAATAATTTTTCAATAAGTTTTTTTAAAGGGATAAACAGATATAAACACTATTAACAAAGGCAAGATACTGATGGATTAACAGTTTTACCAACTGAAAAAGTGAAACATTTTCATATAGGATTCCTTTACAGTTTCATGATAGAAGATAAAGTTCTTCAACAAGATTACCAAGTCTTGTTGAAAAACATGGAAGTCTTTTTAGAGGACATACATTCTTCCAACTTCACAGGTGTGTGTATATGGGAGGGGGGGTGTACATAGATATGGGACAGTTTTTTCTTATTTACACATACTTAGTTTGGTTAATATTGAATTTTTTCTTTACATATATCACCTTCAAATCCTTACATGTGCAAGTAATGATGGTGGAGATAATTAATTTTAACAGAATGCTAAGTTCATACACATTTCTG